CACGCCACAGCTCAGAGGCCCTGGGAAGGAGAAATGGCACCCCACCCCGAGCCACGGGCCACGCCCACTCGACTGGTGGAGCTGGTCTATGGCCAGGCTGCAAACTCTGGGGCTTCCTATTCTGCCTTTTCTCTGGACCACAGACCCACACCAGGCTGCAAACCTGGGAAAGCCGCCCGCCTCAGAGACCCCACGCTTGCCTGGTTGGGTGGTCCCAAGGTCTAGGCTCTCATGTGGGGAGGAGCGATCCTAACAGCCTTTCCCTGGGCACGGCCCCAGATTTTCTCCCCTGAGACTTCCCCACAGGTTGAGAAGCCGTCACCTCCTCTGTGGAACTTCTACCCATCCCTCAAAATCCTACTCCAACGTGCCCAGTTAAAATCAATTCCCGTTCTGCCTGTCCTAAAGCTTCTGCAGCACTGGCCTCCAGGTCACTGGGTTGGGAACAAGCCTGCTCCCCATCCATTTGCCTTGGCCCCTGCCGCTGTCACTGGACCACAGGCTCCATTAAGAATGGGGGGTGAACCTCATGCATTCTGTTGCCCCAGAGCTCCCCGCTCAGGGCCTAGTGCTTGGGGGTCGCTCTGTCTCTGTGAGGTTGGGCTGAGTTTGAACACATAACCACCGCTCCCCCCTTAGCCACGTCTCCCATGACGGACTCCCCGAAGCCCCCTGGCATCGTGGAAGGGAGCTCTGCGCGAAGCCACCCACGGTCTACTGTGTACCAGCTGTGGGACCCAGGCTGCTGATTCAACCTCTTCAGTCTTGTGTTTCCTCATCTGACCCCGAGAAACAGCAACCTCCATCTGCAGGACCGTGGAGAGGAAGAATGTGGTATGCACCTGGCATATAATAATTGCTCCATGAGCAGCCAGACTTTTCAAACAAGCCAGCCACCCTTGCTGGCTCCCTCTCCTCACCTCCTACTCATGCCTCCATCCACAGCCATGTGGCTTCTGCCCGTGAAACTGGCCCCGTCAAGGACACCAAGAACCAGGTGCTGCCCGAGCCAAGCAGATTCTCTGTCCTTCAGCTTCTCAGCCTCTGTGGCACCGACCCCACGGCCCATCCCTCGCCAGGGCTTCACCTGCATATTTTCATCCGCGCCATCCTCCCCATCTCCAGGCATCTCCCCGCGGCTGCAGATCCACACACGTCAACGAGCGGCTGTCTGGACCTCGCCCTCTGCGTATCTCAGGCGCACGTCCATGTCTGCTCACCCCAACCTGAACTGGCCGTCTCCGTTCTCCTGGGTCTCAGGCCACCTCTCTCCAGCTCTCCGCACATTTTCTCAGATGTCCCCCCAAACACGGAAGCCTGCTGCCCTAGCTCCCTACGGCTGCCGGAACAAACTTACCACAAACACAGCCGCTTAAAGCAACACGTTTATTGTCTTACAGTTCTGGAGCGAAAGTCCTAAAATCAAGGCGTCAGCTGGGCTGGGTTCTTTCTGGAAGCTCTATGGAATGATCCGTTTCCTGGCCTTTTCCAGCTTCTAGAGGCTGCCCGCACTCCTTGGCTCCCGGCTCCTTCCTCTACCTTCAAGGCCAGCGGAAGAGCATCTTCCAGTCTTTTCTCTCTGACTCTCTTGCCTCGCTCTTATAAAGATGCTCGTCCTTACATCGGGCCCACCCTGATAAACCAATTTCTTCATCTCAAAATCCTCCATTTGACCACATCTGCGAAGTCCCTTTTGCCCTGTCACATGACCTATTCACAGCTCTCGGGGCCCAGGGTGGGGGTATCTGTGGGAGTCATTATTTGGTCTACTGTACTCAGCTCCCTCCATCCACTCCAAACCTCTAGGATAACCCTCCAGGGACAGAAAAAATGTTGACCCACCTCCTTTCCACGGCCAACGTCTCTGTCTGAACCTTCTCAGGCAACGTGGAATCTTATCTGTCCTGCCTCATCTCTACTCTATATTCAACAGTTTCTTTGGCGGGAGTCCTCCTTTTTAGGACGTTAACGTGTCTTTTACTAACAGACTCCCTTGACCCCATGTCTACCCCTAGCCATCACCTTCCTACTCCTCTCTCTCTTCCACTTCTCATCTCTAATGGATCTTCTGAGAAGTGACTATCCTGCTCACCTCCATTCTAATAAGCTTTCCGTCTCATCATCTTCTGCAGGGTTTTTTCACCACGGTCCTGTTGACAATCGAGGCCAGACCATTCTTTGCTGTAAGAGGCTGCTCTGTGCATCGTAAAAGGTTTAGCAGCACCCCTGGCCTCTGCCTCCTGGATGCCAGCAGCATACTCCCCACCCTCAGCTGTGACAACCAAAACTGTCTCCAGACACGGCCGATGTCCCGGGGGCGGGGGGGGGGGGGGGGACGGGGAGCAAGTCGCCCCACGTCGAGACCCAGTGTCTTATGGGAACCTTTCTCGCCAAAGTCACCAAGGACTTCCTGGCACTAGATCCAGTGGACGACATGAACCCTTGTTCCCTCGGCTTCTCAGCAGAATTTGACACTCTTGGTCACTCCGGCCTTCCAACCTCGCAGGCGAGCCCCCCTTCCGGGCCACTGACTGTTGAGTTTGCTGAAGCCTCAGCCCCAGACGGTCTCCACCTCTCGCCCAGCCCGTCCTCCCTGGGGGCCGCCCTCCACAGCGCCGGCCCACGGACCACCTGCGCACAGGGTGACATCTCCGAACCTGCTTTCTGAGCTCCAAATCCATGGATCTAACTGCCTACTTGACATCACCACTTGGATGTCTTGACGCCACTCCAAGCTCGACAAGTCCAAAACCCAAATCAGGATCTTCTATCACCCCCGTCCCCTTCCCGCAGCCCCCATTTCTCAGAGAAAAGCACATTCCCGGCCGGTTGGGAGGCAAAGACTGCAGGCGTGTTCTTGGCATTTCCCTCTCCCTTGCTTAGGCCAATTAGCCTATTTCCAAATCAAACCTCTTTCATCTCTGAAATGGTTCACAATCCAGTTGGCTTGTCTTCACGTCTCGGCCTAGAGAACAACCCCAGCTCCCTAACTGGGGCGTGGGGAGTGGCCATCCCTTCTTGACCAAGGCCCCCTCCCCCCGCAGTTCTCCAGCCTGCAGTCAAAGTTAGCCTTTTACAACATAAATGAAAGCTTCTCATTGTTCTTAAAATAAAGAACACAAGTCCCAATTTGGCCCACTGGGCCCTATATAGCCAAGCCGCCGTCTCCTCCAGGCCTCTGTTTGCTGCATTCCAGGCACACTGACCTTCCTCCAGTTGCTCAAACACACTGTGCTCTCTCCTGCCACAGGGCCTTTGCACACGCTGTCCCATCCATCTGGATGCCCCTCATCAATCTTCACCCGGTGGGCATTCTCTTTCTTCAATAACAGCTCAACCATTAGGAAGCCTTCCCCGACCTCTGGCCACACCACTCCCCCTGCTTGTTCACCTTGCTCCTGGCCTCGCCATCTCTCCATCGCCTTTCAGTCATAATATCATTTATTTATCTTATTCTTTGATTCATTCCATCTCCCCCACAGTAAACTCTAGGAGGGCAGGACTGACATCTGATCTGGCCCACCCTCGTATCCCCAGGGCCACCCCAGGGCCTGGCACAAGGGGACCCTGAAGAAGTGTTTACTTAATGAAGAGCAATGATTTTCCTACCCCCTCAGCCTGCCTTTCAATATTGTCCCACGTTCCCCCATCTCTGTTCAAACTGGATCCTTGAGAGTCGTCTTTGCTCTTCCTTCTTCTTCATATCTTTGAAACCCCTCTTTCTCTCTCCACAGCCCATCCACGAATGCATCCTGGAGATTCTCTCTCCTACGTCTCTCCCAGATATGCCCCCTCTAGCACCTGAGTTTAAGCCATCACGTGTTCTTACCTGAACCCCCATCCCAGCTCCCGCCTGGAATCCGGATTCTCTGCTGTGCAACCTCTGCTCAGAAGCTCAGAGGCGTCCCCTGGCCGGCGGACGGGGGACGCATGGACCCTGGCTTATGAAACGCAGTGCGATCCGGCCCCACCTCCCCCTCCTGCCAATTCCTCGTCACTCTGCCGCTCCGGCCCATCGCTGTTGCCCCACGAAGCTTCTCAGGGTTCCTCTCTCAGCTGTTCTGTCTGCACAGAGCATCTTCCCACCCTGTCCCACGACCGCTACTCACTCATCAGTTCTCAGGCTAAAGGAAATCTTGCCCAAACCCCTCACGGGGGCCAAGAACAATGACGATCGCTGATGGTCACTGTGTGCTTACGAAGGCCAAGTGCGATGCTAAGAACTTTACAGTACGGACTCATCTAATCTTCACCAAGCAGCTGTGCCTATCCTGTTACGGAACAGCCACAGAGACGTTAAATGACTCGTCCAAGGTCACATTAGATAGTAAAGAGCAAAGCTGACTGACATAACCAACTTGGGCTGTGGGCCCCAAATTCCGGAGCACTACGCACGCTGCCTTCTCTGGCTGTTCCCAGAGCATCCTCTACGCCCCCTTCAGTAGCAGTTATCACACGTGTATGACTTGTTCAACGCCTGGTTCCCACCAGGCCGCCCGCGCCCTCAGAGCAAGGACCGCGTCTGTCTGGTGGAAGTCTTTCCCTCCGGCAGGCACCAAGCTCAGTCACCTGGTGTTACCACTGTGTGAGCTGAATGTCACGCTCTGCACCCCCCGGTCCCCAGCTCCAAGTCCCGGGCTCCAGAGGGGGGCTGGGGGAAACCCTTGGTCCATGCCACTGCCTGGCCCGCCAGACACTCACGCAAGGATGCATGGGAAAATCGCCCTGACTTCTGCCTGGCTGGCTGCAGGGGCTCCCTGAGCCCCACCACTGATTCTGCCGACCGCCGCCTGGTGGGCTCTTCAGCATGGCCCTCAGCCACCAAGGGTCGCAGCCCTTCGGCGGGGCCAGGGGCTAGAGCAGGACCCATCCTTCACGTGCCCGGGAATGATGGCAGAAAAGCTCTTTGTCCCGGCTGGGCCAGCGCACGGCTCCCCCTGCTGGTTTCCATGCACGTTCCTCGGCACCCTCTCCCACGGAACAGCCCAGGGAACACTCACCAGCCACGAGAAGAAGCCAGTCGATTTGTCCTGGGTGGAGATCTGCCCCTCGTAGGGGCCGAAGATGTGGCCTTTGGGGATGACCTCATTGATGCATCGCACATCATTCTCCCCACTGGCTTCCTTGACCACCTCCATGCCCTGCGGGATGGTGAGGGCGGCCCGGTCTGGGATGCCCACGGGCACCGGCGTGTCGGACACAAACACTGGGGGACCGTGGTTCGGGCACTCATCCACAAAGTACTCCTGGCAGGACTCACAGACTGGGGGGACGGAAAGAGGAAAGAGAGCCTCAGAGGTGGCGAGGGGGCAGGACCTGCATGGAGGAGGCTGAGGGGCTGACGGAAGCCCACCCTGAGGACAGAGTGGGGCAGGGCAAACACCCTGCACGGGACTCTGGAGTCCCAGACCTGGATCCACCTTATCCAGCCGCGGGCCCCTGAATCCTCAGCGGCAATCGCCCATTCCCCTCCCTGGGGGCTCAAAGGCCACGTCTGCCACTGCTAAGCACACCAGCGCTCCCTTTGTCTCAAGTTTGAAAAAGCAGAAGAAAGAGCACAGCTTTGGGCTCAGAAGGGTCTGGGTTTGAATTGCGACCGCGCATCTGTGGGCCGCGGGACCCGAGGCGGCGTCCTTCACCCTCCCGCAGCCTCAGCGTCCTCACCTGGGAAATGGGACCAGTAATAGGCACCTCAGTGGCTAACGGTAAGGATTAACTGAGGCCTGGACCTGGGCAAGGAGCTGTGTGACCGGCAGCACCCATCATCCGTCTTATCGCAGAGTCCCTAAGCAGAGGCGGGGAGGGGGTGGGGAGCGGGGAGGACCCAGGCGGAGCCCCAAGCTCCACTTACACCAGAAGTCCACTTGCTGGAAGCTTTTGGGCATGATGAGGTCACGCTTCCCCTTCAGTTTCTTGGGCTCCACTTCCATGGCTGAGGGGTCTGGTCTCCTGGAGCTGCCAGGACACGGGCCCGTAGAGAAAGCAAAGAAGCCATCAGAGAGAGCCCGGTGGGCAGAGAAGCCGAAGACGTGGCCAGGAGGCCGCGGGGACGTGGGGCAGGTGGAGCGGTAGCAGTCCTGAGGCCGGAGCCCCGGCCTTCCGGGGCCACTCTGCTTGAGTTTTTCAAGAGCCTGTGCTCGCCTCTGGTCTCAGGAGCTGCTCAGGGCAGGGCAAGGGAGGCGGGCAGAGCGGGAATGCTCCCCAGGGTCGCCAGCCAACCCAGCCCAGGGAGTCCCCCCTTCTCCCTCTCCTGTCCCCACACAGGGGCCTCACCAGGGCTGGCCATACTCCTGGTCACGGAGTGGCGAGCACACCTCCGTCTTCACCACTGTCACCATGTCCCCCACGGCCGCCTTGGTCTGCGCCAGGCACTCCTTCATGTTCTCAGTCATTCTGTCCTGGGGACGCGAAGGCGGGACCAGCACAGGAAGAGGATCAAAGAGACAGGGGAAGAGGGGTGAGTGGCGGAGAGGGCAAGCAGGGGTCCCGCGGAGTCTGCTTACCCTCCCTGCCATCCCCAGAGGAAGCTCTTGAGAACACAGACAACAAAAACAGCTGTAGCCTGGCCAAGAGGAAATGCCATTTCTATCCCGGGCTGGTCCTGGGGACGACTGGAGCCACCAGCCCCGTAGGGTCAGGGGTCCGGGGCAGCTCAGGCCAGGAGGCAGGGCTGGGTGGCACAGCCTGGACTCCAGGAGCAAAGCGCAAACGGGATGGGGAACCCACAGGAGCCACAGCCCAAAACTCTGCAATGGGGAGCAGGGCCCCGATCGAGTCAAGCCCAGCTGGGGCCAAGGGGGGCGGGCGGATGAAATGGAGCCCTCAGCGCCCGGCTGCGCAGCCCCTCACCAGGAGGCTGCCAGGGAATGCAGCCAGGCCCGCTTTGCCAGCTCAGAGCAGGTACAGGCGGGGCCTGGGGGTCCTGGTGTGGGCCGGCGCGCCAGCCCTGACTCCCAGCCCCACCCCGCTCTCTAGGGGAGTCCTCCCCGCCCGCCGCTTACCGCCCTCCTCCACCACCGCGCAGGGCTTCAGCCCCTCCCTCGGCACCCCTGGGTCCTCATGCCAAGCCCGGGGACACTCTTCGGGCCAGGGCAGCGCCCAGCTCGGGCTGGGATCGCGCTCGGCCCCTGGACTGGGCGAGCAGCATGTGTGACTCACTACCCAGGGCCCCGCTGGCCACACCCCTGCTCCTCGGCTAATCAGCCCCCTGCTCCCCACCGGGGCCCCAAAGCCGGCGGCGGCTGGGAGGGGTGTGGGGAAACAGGACGGCCTGCCCCCTCCTCCGAGCCGGCGGGGACGGGGGCGCGCGGAGGGGGGCGCGGGCTGCCCGGGCCGGCCGAGCCGCTCCGCCCCAGCCCCCGGGCGCCCCCGGCCCCCGGAGCCCGCGGGTCGTCCCGGCCGGGGTCCGGCGGCGAAAGTGTGAGCTCGTGCGATCGGGCCAGGGCGGCGCACCGGCCGCGCGCAGGGGCGGCGCTGGGGGCCGGGGAGGGCGCGGGCTCGCTCTCTCCCTCTCACCAACCTTCCCGGCGGGGAGCTCCCTGCCCTGCCCTGCCCGCCCGGCCCTGCCCAGCGCCCGCCCCCCGCCCGCCAGGCCCGGCATTCCTTGCGGGGGCATGTGGCTTCTTGCCGGCCCCGGGGGCACGCAGTTGGCTGGCGGCCGGGAGGGGGGCGCGCGGGGAGCGGGAGGGAGCGAGCGGCCGGGAGGGGGCCCCGCCGGGGAGGCATTCCAGCCCCTCCCGCGGGGCTCGGCCCTCACGCGGGCCGGGGGGCGCCGGGCGGGCGTCTGGGGTGGGCGATAGCGCCGGGAGGCGGGGGTCGGAGCAGGTCTGCGAAATGCGCGAGCGGCCCCCGCGCGCCCTCCCGGCCTCTGCAGCCCGCTCGGCACGGCTGCAGCGCGGCCTGCGGCGCGAGCGGAGCGGCACCCGAGCCTCCGGCTGCGCCCCGCGCGCGCCCCCTGCCCCATCGGCGCGGCCGGGGCTGCGGAGCCGGCGGCGGCAGCTCGCCTGCGCCCTGGCCACGGGGTGCGAGCAGGGGCTCCGCGCGCGGTGCCTGGCCGACCTCATGGCCAATGGGATGGCCCCCAGCCACCCGTGAGGGCGCAGGGCTTGGGGGTCACCTAGGCAGGAACCTAGGGCTGGCAGATGTCAAGTGACTTGCTCAAGGTCACGCGGTCCATTCCTGGGGAGGTGTGCACTGGAGCCTGGGCCCCCTCTGAGTCAGCTGGAAACGGGAGAACCCCCAACTTCAAGCGTTGTGTTTCTGGCTGGTTTACCTCCTTGTCACACCCTCAGCGCAGTCCTTTTCCAGAAGGATCACCGCCACAGTCACGCTGGGGGGAGTTCAGGCCTCAGCCCACATGTCCAGCTGCCAGATGGGGGCCAGACCCAGTGGATCTGCTGTACCTTTGTCCTGAGAAGCGCTTCTCACTTGGATGGGCGACATCACACACAACACATCCCGAGGCAGTTAGGTCTAGTGGTTAGGGGCCTGGGCCCTGGAGTCGCACTGACTGCAGTCAAGTCCCACTAGTTAGCCATGTGACCCTGAGCAGGTGTTCAGGACTGAAAGTTTGTGTCCCCCGTCCCCCACCCCCACCCCCCCCAATTCATATGCTGATGCCCTGACCCCCAGTGTGCCTGTATTTGGAGAAGGGCCTGTGAGAGGTGTTAAAGGTTAAGTGAGGTCATAAGGGTGGGGCCCTCAGCCAATAGGGCTGGTGCCCTTTTAAGAAGGCGAAGAGACAGAACCAGCCAGCACCTTGATCTTGGACCTCCCAGCCTCCAGAGCTGAGAGAAATCACTGTCTGTGCTTGAAGCCCCCGTCTGTGGCCTTTTGTGGTGGCAGCCTGAGCTCGCTGACTAAGACAGCAGGTTATATAACTTCTCTGTGCTCCCGTTTCTCCATCCGGAAAATGCGGCAAATGTTAGATCCTATCGCAGACTTTGCTATATGAAAGCGACAGCGATGACTTTGGAGGGGCTGCACATCCCCCCAAGGAAGCTGATAGGACGGGGCTGTGAGGGACCTCATTAAGGAGTGGCTTTGCATTCTCTCAGTTAGACTGCATTTATTTTTTAAAAGTCAATCATTGGCAGGCTCTGGCACTGTATTAGAAACAGCCTGGGACCATTTTGCACCGGGCTCCCTGCTCTGGCCCCTCTGCCCTCCGCCAGCCCTGCCTGTCTGCCACGCTCCACCCTGACTTGGGGCTCTGCACTTGCTGTGCCCTCTGCCAGCAGCACACCTGGAAAACTCCTACCCATCCCTCGGCGCCCCCTATGCGCCACTCCAAAATGCTCCCTCCAGCCCCCTGTCTCTTTCCTCATGGCACTTGTCACTCTTGAAACAGTCTGTTGTTAGCTTAACTGTTTGATTAATATCTGTTTCCCATAATAGATTATAACTCCCGAAGGCCAGGGGGCTGGTGCTTTTGCTCAATATTAAATTGCTGGCACTTGAAACAGTGCCTGGCACCAGGGCAGAATGTTAGAAAGACAAGCAAGGCGCCAGGCACGAAGCTTAAGGAGGCACCCACTCTCAGGGTCGTGCATGCGCAGAAGTGGCACCCGGGAGTGAGCGCCTCCTTAAATTTTGCACCCGCGGTGCCTTCCCTGCCTTTCCCTGGCCTCAGTCTTGCCTAGCACCTAGTATATGCTCAATAAATATTTGCCAAATGAATTTGTGACCAAATGACACAGGTCTGAATTCTCTGGCCCCTCTGATATGTCCTGCTGGCACGTTGAGAATCTGCACTCTAAGAGAAACCTCAGAAGGGGAGAACGGGTGGCGGGGCTGAGCGCTCCTGGGGGCCCGGTGATCTCTGCCAAGCAAGGCGAGTGGCCAGGTGGGTGAGGCTGGCACAAGGGCAGAGGGGGGGCCGTGGGGAGCAGGGTAGAATCAGACTCTTGAGGTGGCATCCGATAGTAAGGTGAATACGGTGTAACATACAAGCTGTGTGACCACGGGCACGTCGAACAACCTCTCTAGGCCTCCATGTCTTCCTGGGTAACAAAGAAATCATCGTAATTGCCAGGTTAACCCCACAAGGAATAAATGAGATAAAGGCTGTGGCAAGGCCCTTCGAAGAGCCACGTTCTGTGGGTTTACGAGGGATATTAATGTTAAACTGGCTGCCCGGAGGCAAGGGGGTGAGCAAGAAGAGGGGAGAGGGGAGAGAGGATGGAGGGAACAACGACTAAAAAGTGGGGACGGGAAGGAGGGCAAAGCAGGCAATAGAAACAGAATAAAGGATGGAAGGGAAGAGGGAGAGAAGAGAGGAAAGGGCACAGAAAAAAGCAGATGAGAAGGAAAAGGGAGACAGAGAGAGGGAGAGATGGAGGGAAAAAGGAACCCAGACATTTTTCTAAGTTCTTAAATGGTCCCAGGAAAACCATCCCCTTCTGGGAAAAGCATTCACTTGCATCCCGGAGCAGAGGTGTCTCCAGGCCACTTCCTTTCACATCTTATTTTTTCAGTTACATTCCACCTTCATCGCATAAATGAATGGAGATGATTTATAACAGACGCGTACTCAACAGGGCAGTTGAACAACCAGAGACCAGATGGAGAAAGAGTGACGCCAATTATACCATGCATCTGTTGCAAGATGGCTAGTGGTTTAGCTTTTCATTCAGTTCCGAGCCTCCTGGCAGCCAAAGCAAAAAGGGAAACATGATGGGTTACAGAATTCCCATTATTTGACAGCTGTTTATTGACTGTCTGCACAATTAAGTCCTCTCCATTCCTGGAGGAGTCCAGCTGCCTGGAGAACCAGGACAAGCCTCACTTACACGGCTGATGTGCTTACAACTCCTTTCTGTATCTGCAGTGAAGGCTGCAGGGGCAAAGAGGGAGAAGATAGGATGGGGCAGGACCAAATGAACTTCCGTTTGGGAAGAAAGAGAGAACACGGGCCTATGTCCTTCCTGCGGTCCATCTCGGCGGGCACTGAAAGGCCTCAGCCAGGGGAAGCTCCAGCCACCGCCTCTGCAGACTGCTCGGGCCCTGCTTGCCCAGTGAGGGACATGGGGGAGGGGTGGGCAGCAGGCCTCCTGGAGGGCTACAAGCTGCTGGCAATGCTCCCTCTCAGCTGGCTCCTCCGAGTCTGCACATGCAGAGATTAGGCATGTTGCGAACCCAGCAATGAGATGCAAACCCAAGAGGAGGGGCAGCATGCAGCTCAGGAGCCTGCAGCTCTGTTTTCACCCTTGGCAGCGTGCCAGGGGCCTGGAATGCCCAGCAGCCACGGTGGCCAGGGGACTGCCAGTCTGTGCCCACTCGGTTTCCCGAGAGGCTGGCACCGTGAGAGTGTGGCAGGTCTGCTCCGGGACCACCGCAGCATCCTCTGCCGTCCCCTCTGATAACAAAGGCACAGGGGATGAGGGGGCAGACCCAAGTCACATGGTGACCTGGGCTGGGTATCCTCAGCCCTGGCTCTCAGTCCTGGCAGGGCCACAAACTTTTTAGATGACCCTGAGCAGGTGCTTGCTTTGCTCGGAGCCTCAGTTTCCCCTTCCTGAAAAAGAAAAGATCCAACATGGTTCTTAACAGTAAACCATGAGGGTAATGAGGAGAGCGCTTGGAATTATGACGGGAAGCTGCTGAATTTACATGCCCAGCACCACTGCTCAGAGAGAGAATGAACTGCACGCCTTGAGATTGATGAACTTATGTAGATACTTTAGTGATGAACGAAAGATACATTTATAAAAAGTGTCCTGAATTCACAGAAGCCCTATGTCACCGTGTGTTTTGTTAATCGGCTGATACCAGCACAGCCACTTACAAGCTACGTAATCTTGGGAAAATTAACAGACCACTCCCACCTCAGCTTCCCCATCTGTCCAATGGGCGTCATATCAGAACCCGCCTCACAGGGCTGTTTTGCATGGCATAAGGCCTGGCATATAACAAGCACTCTATAAATATTAGTTATTATCATTCATTGTATTTATTATTTTAAAAGTCCAGCAGACGTCAGGCGGGCATGTTGGTGAGAACTTTTTGACATTTAAAAGAGGGCCTCACAAGGGGGCTGGCCCCGTGGCCGAGTGGTTAAGTTCGCGCGCTCCGCTGCAGGCGGCCCAGGTTTCTTTCAATCCTGGGCGTGGACATGGCACTGCTCATCAAACCAGGCTGAGGCAGCGTCCCACATGCCACAACTAGAAGGACCCACAACGAAGAATACACAACTATGTACTGCGGGGCTTTGGGGAGAAAAAGGAAAAATAAAACCTTAAAAAAAAAAAAAAAAAAAGAGGGCCTCACAAGCAGCGAACATCCTTAATAGAAAAACACTTTTAATAA